AAAGGAATGCATGTACAGGTTGTTTGTGGAACCTATATATTGGGAACGGCAAGTCCTTTGCTAAATAAGATTAGAAATGTTATGTGGAATGCTTTGCTAGAAATACACAAACATAATTGCAGAAATTCTACAAGGAACCTTAGTGTTTTAGGTTTTTTTTCTTTTTTAATTTTTTGCTTCCTAGCAGAGCTTTAATTTCATAAATATTCTTATATTTTTGTGATTTTTGAAATCATGTTTTCTTGGGAAAAAAACATTGCAATAATCTAATATCCATTTGTAAAGGTTGATCTAATGAATGCTTTTCTTCGATGATAAATATTCATTGTTTCATCTACTTTAGGTATGAGAAAGAACTGATGCATCCCATTCAAAATCTTCTTAGTGGAGAGCTGGCCCGTGCTTTGCTTATCCAGGTTATTACATGTTCAATTATTATCTCCATACGACAAGTACACTATACTTGATAGTTTTCTCTGTGACGATGCAGGTGCAGAAGCTAAAATTGGATATTGAGACGTAAGTTTCAGAAAGTTATCATTTTTAGTGAACAATCATTATATAACTTCATCTTCCTTTTTTGGTTTCATGGCAATGGTTTCATATTATGATGGCTTTTAAATAGGGCAATGCTTGAGCTTGACCAGATTCTCAAGGCAAATGAAATCAATTTCGCTGTTCTAGCTGCATTGCCAGCATTTTTTCTCTCACTTCTTTTGCTGATGCTTTTGCGTGCTTGGTATAAACAGGTAAGTGGACTAAAAGCTAGTTTGGTTCACATCTTTTAACGTTAAATTCAAGTGTGATGTTGTTCTTATTTCTAGTTTTTTCCGAGTTCCTTTATCAAATTAGATTTTGCCTTCCTGAAAAGACGTTAGAGTAGGACAACTGCAGTTGAGTGCTGACACCTTCATCAATTGTGTGGTCATGAAGTTGAGTGGGGAGTGCTCTCTATCCCAGTGGCCATCGACTTTCCCAGATTTCCCTTAAACTTGGTCGAAGTATCCAAACCCCCAAGCCTACAGTCCATAAGAACACCTTGCATTCATTCATTCTCTATTTCTCTCTTTCATTCGTTCTTTTTTTGGATATTTATTTCACGAGACTTCAAGGTAAGATGAAAAGTAGCAAGCCTATTTTCTTTTACCTGATTAATCAGCCCCTAGGGAGAATGGTGATAGAGATTTATTGCAGTCTTCTTCTGTTCCTCAACTCAAACCTCATTATTTTTCAGTTGATGTTACAAATTAACCCTAATCTTCTGACCAACAATTGCCTAATATCACTCTATGTAAATTTTTTGGAAAAAATAGACAAAGTCAGTTTACTTACTGATTATGACATTTAGGATACTAGAGCTGAAGGGAAGGGAAGAGCTGCTCGGCTTCAGAGAAGACTACTTGTCGTGGAGGTGGAGAAAGCAATTATGCAATACCAGAGTTTTGTTGACCAAGGACGTGTAAGGAGCTCAATCTACTTGTTGGCTTCTCAAACATGTTTCTTCTCTGTTTGTACACATTTTGTTTGCTATAAAAAATCATGTTTTTTTTTGCAGATCAGCATGTGAATGTAAACATTATGAAATAATTAATCCTAGCATAGTAAGCCTGAAGTTTTTACTTATTTATTTGCTATAGAAGTTACACTTGTTAGAAAAGGGAACGTAAAAGAAAAGGAGAGTGGACTAGTAGTCTAAGTCAACCTTCAATTAAGGGGTATTAAATTAGAACTTCCAATTGGTCCTAATCAAACAAAAGTAGAGAAAAAACTGAACTGTATCCTTTTGGAAGCCTAGAGAGATGTGTCAACACATGCTTAGAAGAGAAACAGGAATTTTTTTAAAGAGCTTGAGAAAACATGGGAGAAGGCGGGGTCCTTGTTGGTTTAAACATCTCTCTGTGGCCGTTAGTGACTAAGACTTTTTGTAGCTATTCTCTTGGCTTGGTTGTTTGTTTTAAATTGGACTCCCTTTTTGTGTAGTTTTTTTTTTGGGCTGGGGGTAGTTGGACTTGTTGGGCTGGTTTTTTGTATGTCCTTTTGTAGTCTTTCATTTGTTCTCAGTGAAAGCTTATTTCCTCATACGAAAAAGGATTATTGATTAGCTACCTGAGTCTCAAACATAGATACTTCTCCATCCCTAAATGGCAAACACAATATACGAAAGAAGGAATTATCTTTCTTCACGTTGCTTTATTGAATATCTTGAGAGCAGAATGAGAATGTTTCCATTTTTCAATATTTGCAGGTAAAAGATGCTGAATGTAGGTTTGGGTTACTGTTGTATAGTTTGGGTCGGCTGTACCATGCTTCCGAGAAGCATGCCAAAGCAACCGGTGAATGGCTATAGTAAGTTTTAGTTCAGCTTTTCTTCTTTCTTTCTAGGCAATACTTTCCAACCAGCATGTGTTCCAGATATAGAGAGATGGCATCTGCATTATATACAGATAAATTGTTTTCTCGACTCTTTTGTCAAATGCGCCATCATTTCCGTCAGGAATTGACATGAAAACATGTGACAATTTCTAGGTCATTTGGAGTTGCTTTTCATCAATATTTACGTTTTTCATTCATTTTCTCATACAAATCCTCTTCTGTGAAACCGGGAATATATTTGAAAGGAAAAAGAATCTACAAGTAAGAAGGGGTTAAAACAATCGTAACATGGCCCTCAAAACATCATATACCTCAGGATGCCCCATCCTTTGAATTGAAAATTATAGGGATGTCAATGAGTATTTACTTGCAACTTCGTTTACCAAGTACAACCTTGGAGTTCTGCTTTATCTTCTAATCAATCAGGAGGATACTCTAATAGATATAAATTTGCTATGAATGTTTACCAATATGCCATTTCAGGAGTCGCATCTTTTTTAATCTTACGATAACTTCTAGATGAAAAATGCTCCCTCTGAATGTAGCCCCTTCATGTAGAAAACAAATATCCTCTTTGAAGCCCCTTTTTGTAGTTTGTTACTTGGCTCTCCCTTCGTGGATTTCTTTTTTGTGTACCCTTGTATTCTTTCATTTTTTTCTAGTCGGAAGCTTGGTTTAAAAAAAACAAAAAAAAAACAAATATCCTCTTTGAAACAAGGAATCCTTTGACCACTGGCCATCATTATCATCTCCTCTCTTGTACTCATTCTTTATCATCCCCCACTTCGTCGTTCTTCTACTTTTTGTGGTGTATTGAAATTTGAGTTCCCCAAACCCTGCGCGTGATTTTACCAGAAGCCTTATTACCTTTTGAGATAAATAACATCTTAAGATTACATTCACTTTATGCTCTTCACTACATTGAACGGTTACTTGCACAAATATTAAATTTAGTTCTTGGGTTAATCCATACAATTATACAAGTGCATTTACATTAAAGCTGTAATCTAACCTTGTAAACAGTTTGAGGCAGGATATTCTGGATCTAGGGAAGCCTGGTCTTCCAACACGAGATAAACTCAGAATTACGTGGCGCATGGAACGGGTGTACGATTGTTTACTTCCCACATTGAAAAGGTCATAATGCACGTCCTTTTCTTCTCTTCAACTCCACAGGAGTATTTTTTGATTTGCTTAATGGAGGTATTTTGCTCCCACACTTCCAAGCCTAATATTTTTGGAAAGCCCCCTGGTTAAACCCAGTTTGTGTTGCCTTCATTAGCTTTTGTTGTTGAGGAAGATACACAATGGTGTCTAGCCTGTTACTTTTTTGTTGGGCTGACAACTTCAAATTTGTCTTCATGATAGTATTGGCCTTTGTTAGAGTACTTTAACAAATGAAAGAACTGTTGAAAATCATGGATGGATTTCTTATAGAACCTTCTTTTTGGAAGGAAATATTGTAGTTTTTCTTTAAATAATTATTTTATGAAGAAATGATAATCACAGGGACTTGCACCTTTCTCAAGTCATTCTTTATTTGCATAGTTATAGTGTGTTATTATTTTTATTTTTATTTTTTGTATTAATTGTGTTCTCTGTACATTTTTTTTAATGGATGGTTCGTACACTCGGAGGCCATTGTTAACGGTAATTTAGTCTATTTTTACTCTTTTTTTTTAGCTCGGCATGTAATTCGATCATTTGAACTATGTTTAAATTAACGTTCACATTTTTATTATTGATTTTATGTACTTACATAATTTGATCATTTGAACATTTGAAGCTATCATGTTGTTGAAACATTTTATCCCTCCTGCACCTTAGCTTTATATAAATGTTGCCATCTTTACCTTCAATTAAGAGAAACATGTTGCAAATTACCCTCCTAATAATAAGTTTTCGTTGAAAGAAACATTTTAACATGTATTCAATGAATTATAAAATATATTTATATTTATGGATTTGATTTCATATGTTAGTGGTGGCAAAGTTTGATATAATTGAAATCATTTTGAAGATTTTTTTTTAAATGAGTGAGTGAATGAATTCAATGCAAGCCTAATTATTAATAATATTCTTCTTCAAAAAGATTTTTTTTTTATCTATTATAACGGTTCGAGCACATCGCTAGTAGATAATGTCATATTTGAGTTTTTTCTCAAGATTTTTAAAAAGCATCTAGAGGGACAAATTTTCACCATCTTATAAATTGTGCTTCATTTTCTCTCCAATTAATATGATATCTCACACTTTTATTGATGTATCAACTAATGTATCAGTAGTATACTGATATGCTAAATAGTTATACGAACGGATTGACCCAGTATACTACCGATATATCATATTTATATGTCAACATGTACTCATGTTGTGCTTAAAATTAATTTAAATTTTTACAACCATATTATGTTTGAAGTATTTCTAAAAAAAGTTTTTGCTATATATATATATATATATATATTTTGTTACTTTCTTGTTATTGAAGTTTACGTTATTATTAGTTTTTCGTTGTATAATGGTGAATATTATTTTTCTTACCGATATATTCTCTGTATTTGGAGTTGTTATTATTTATTTATTTATTTAATTTCTAAGGTCAACTTTACTTTATAAGTAATTACAGCTTTATTGTGTGTAGGGGCTTCGATACCATCCATCCAGACCTCTTCGATTCTCTCAAGTTTGGGAACGAAAGGATGATGGAAGGTGTGGTTCTCAAGCTCCCATCCTTCCAATTCCAATTCCATTTCATGAACCCTAGTCGTTGCAGTTCCTGTTTCTCCTCCACTCTCCGCACTTCCTCTTCTCCTTCTCTCCGCTTCCGCTTCCGCAGATTTTCCTCTCCCTTCTCTGTTTCTGCTTCAGCTTCCACCGCCAGGGAAACGGACAACTTGCATCTTGGTTCTCTTTCGCTTGGGCACACAACTCGACCTGATTTCCCCATCCTCCATCAGGTTCTTGTTTTTTTATTATCATTCTTCTGTATGTTTTCTTTGGTGATTTGGCTGATTCCTCTTTTTTCATAAATCATAAACCCATTTCTCGTCTATTGGTTATTAGTTCCTTAAAGTTTGTGAATCTCGTTATATTTACTTCCACTATTTAGTCTCAAGTGATTATTGTTGTAATCTATTGGCACTTCATGCGGTGAAGTTAATGGGCGTGTTGCGATCTGCAGGAAGTAAATGGCTCCAAGCTTGTCTACTTGGACAATGCTGCCACCTCTCAGAAACCGATTGCCGTGTTGAAAGCCTTGCAGAATTATTATGAGGCTTACAATTCAAATGTTCATCGTGGCATACACTACTTGAGGTAGATTGTTCATACTTCGGTATGAAACGTGAATTTAAACGATGTCTTGATCACTTGTAATCATGACCATTTGTGATTGTAGTGCGAAGGCAACGGACGAGTATGAGCTGGCCAGAAAGAAGGTTGCGTCTTTTATCAATGCTGGAGATGCTAGAGAGATCGTTTTTACTAGGAATGCAACTGAAGCTATCAATCTAGTGGCTTATTCTTGGGGCATAGCGAATTTAAAATCAGAAGATGAGGTGCGTATCGTGTAGTCTTGTACTGCATTAACTTCAACTGTAATGATCTTTTCTTTCAGTGCAGATCATACTTACAGTTGCTGAACATCATAGTGCCATTGTCCCTTGGCAACTTGTAGCTGAAAGGACTGGTGCTGTTCTGAAGTTTGTGAGTTTAGATGAACATGATGTCCCAAACTTGAAAGATTTCAAGGAGATGTTAACAACAAAAACAAAGCTTGTGGTTACCCATCATGTCTCAAATGTACTAGGTACACCCTTCTATTTGATATCTTAGCACTATTGTTGTGAGATCTCACATTGGATGGAGAGGGGAACGAAGCATGCCTTATAAGGGTGTGGAAATCTCTCCCTAATAGACGCGTTTTAAAACCTTGAAGGGAAGCCCGAAAGAGAAAATCAAAAGAGGACAATATTTGCTAGCGGTGGGTTTGGGCTTGGGCGGTTATAATTGTAATCTATTTCCTTGTTTTTTTTACCATTCAATTTGTAAGCATTACCAAGTGGAACAAGTAGTAGGTGAGTATTTCCAACTGAAGTGTGATCATATCTTTTCAGTTATTACAAGTCTAGTTTAAACTTGTTTGGCTGAGTAAAAATAATAAAATTCAATGAATGAAGGACAGAAAAGAACTGATGTATATAGTGGAATTCAGTATGATTTGATTGTTTCTGCAGCATCTGTTCTTCCAATTGAAGACATAGTTAGCTGGGCACATCATTTTGGGGCTAAAGTGCTAGTAGATGCATGCCAGAGTGTTCCACATATGGTTGTCGACGTCCAGGCGCTTGATGCTGATTTTCTTGTTGCTTCTTCTCACAAGGTTAGGCTGTTTTCTTATTAATTAAATCTTGGGCCTTACATTTGTGCATATGAAGTTAAGGAATAAACATGCTTCAGATGTGTGGGCCTACAGGCATCGGATTTTTATATGGAAAGATTGATCTGCTGTCTGCAATGCCTCCATTCTTAGGTAGGTACTTCGAGAAGATAAGCTATGAAAACAAATATATATAAATAAACTTGTATCAGTTAGTTAGCCGGGAGTCAATATCTAATTTCCATATCTGGTCCTACATGGCTCTAGGTGGTGGAGAGATGATCTCAGATGTCTTTCTCGACCATTCCACATTTGCAGAACCTCCTTCCAGGTTGGTGAACTGCAAGGGTGCATCTTTTTCCTTTTATTCTAAATGGGGTGGAAAAATTAGAACGTTCAATATATAAGACTGAGGACATGCTGAATATGCCATTGATCTTCTATGTTTTATTCCTAAAATTAGAGCACCTCAAAGTTCCATTTAATTTTTTAAAAATAATATCATGAACTTTAGCGCTTTATCTATAAGTTTCTATGCTGGCTGCTGATTTTGTTTGCTCATCTTTTTCAATTGATACTTGGCTTAATTTCGAACGTAATACATTAGATTCGAGGCTGGGACGCCAGCGATTGGAGAAGCAATTGGATTGGGAGCTGCTATTGATTATTTGTCTGGAATCGGCATGCAAAAGATTCATACTTATGAAGTGAGTTGATTGAGATCTGGCGTATGTATCCCTTTCTTTGAAATTTGTTGGGGTGAAAAGGTTGCATGGTAATGGAAATCTTGCTCTAATCAAGGGATTCAGATATTATTTTTCATCAACATCCTGGAAATCTGAAATTGAAAACTGCAAGCGTAGGATGAGATGATAAATATGTTCACAAGTTTTGATACTTTAGTCTAACCAGCAATGAGTTGCTGTCTGCTAACAGGAAGAATTGGCGAATTATCTATATGAGAACCTTCGTGCAGTCCCTAACATTCGCATATATGGCCCAGTCCCTAATGCTCAACGTGCTGCTCTGTGCTCGTTCAATATTGACAACATGCATCCAACGGACATTGCAACTTTTCTTGATCAACAGGTACATCAAGGGAGATTCTAGATTGTATTACTAGAGTGCATCATTTACTTTCTATGGGTCCTTAAAAATATTTTAATGCAGCATGGTATAGCCATCAGATCAGGACATCACTGTGCGCAGCCCCTCCATCGGGTTCTCGGTGTCAGCTCGAGCGCACGAGCTAGCCTTTACTTCTACAACACAAAAGAGGATGTGGACTACTTTATCCAGGCTCTAAATGACACTGTAAGTTTCTTCGACTCCT